CCCCCCCTCTTGACTTTTTCCACTTCGATGTTCCTTCCCCTCTGTGAAGCCCGAGGTCAACTTAAGGGCTAATGATAACCATCAAAACGCCTGCCATTTGATATAAATAAATAAATATTAAAGGGAGCACAATATTTTTTCCTAACAGAGGAATCAAGTACGCTTCCCAAGTTGATGTTAGAAACAATCAACTTGAAACTTAGAAGGACTCCAATACGTCCTTCATAGGCTTACCTGAAGGTGTTCCCACGATGCGAAATTGTCACCTGTCCAGACAGCACTGGTACGTTGTGAACCGGCAAAGAAGGCTCGAGTAAGTACGAAGGGTCGTTCACTGCGATTGGAACGTCTCAACAGACCCTCCCATGTTGCGTTGTGCACCCAGAGACCGTAGAGATTGTGCAGATCACGATTCTCCCAAACACCACCAAAAATGGTATCCTAAATTGCAGATAAGAGTTGCAGTTAGAATGTTGCAAGAGATTAACAAAGCCCATAAAAGCCCTAAGGGGGAGGGGCAGAAATTTCCCCAGGCAATGAGTAATTACCGCAAAATTGTTGCTACGGGGCGCACATAACCCTTATCAATATGTAGGTGACTGCCACTCCTGTCACCTGGACAATGTATTGACCTTCAACACTACTAGCACAAAGGCGACTTGCAATCATATTAATATAATTACTGTTGGATTAATGAGGCAATCTTGGCAAAGTACGCTTTCGCTTTCTAATTAGTTCACCCTGAACATCACCTCAGAACCTAGAAAACGATTTGGTAAATTATTACTTGACACAGTGTACTTTGCTCAAGTAAAAAAAATTGGGAAAAAAATAATAAACTGGAAATTAAAATAAAATGAAACCTTCACAGTCCTGATTCCCATCCTTGGCCCTTAAGAACTGAACACTTTCCTATTCTGCCAGTTTATACATGTTCTCTAACAATAGAAAGTGCATTTCCCTTTGCTACGTCAACTGATGGGATGATTACTAAATTATGTGAGATAACGACATTGATCGTAAACAGCAGAAGATGGATAAGTACAAGATGTAAAAAAAGCAATGTGACTCACGAACTCATCATAAGCACATAAAGAATAGGGAACACACAGTGCGAAATCAAGCGTAAAATTAAACATTGCCAATAGAGGAGTTGATTCAAGTAACTTACCCTGGGGATAGTGACCTCGGCACCACTGAAGACAGAGGGCTCATTCATATCGTTCCAGACATAGAACATGCGATCAGAGCTCAGGAATTTACCATCAGTAAGAAGATTTGCCCACCAATTAACCACCTCTCCACGATAGAAATCGGGCCAATAGCTCGAACCCGGCCAGCACCAACCGTCAAAGTCCGTTGTTGGCTTCCCACCAGGCTTCTTCACGTAAAAGCCTCCCTCTTTAGCTTGTCTAGACATGAAAAAAGTCAATTTAATTATATTTGCTTTCGTAATTATACGTGTATTCAATCACGGAAAAAATTTACTTACGAACAAGTAGGCCAATTGTGATCCAGTTTAATATGCGGATCGAAAATGACAACGAGTTTTCGGCCATTTGCTGTTAGGTCATCAACCATTTGATCTGGGTTTGGGAATTTAACCGCGTCCCAGTCGAGGTAGCGCTTGCCATTCGCATACTCGATATCTAACCAGAATGTATCCACGGGCAGGTAGTGAGTTACATAGCCATCATTAACTGCTTTCATTTCTTGCTGATCGCGGTAATTCCAACGACTTTGGTGGTGAGAGATGGCAAACAGAGGGGGAAGCGGGGTCACCCCAGTTAACGCTGCATAAGACTTGAGACCGGAGTGTGGACTATCAGCGAGAATTACAAAGATGTCAAAGACGCCAGTTTCAAACATCCAACGCGTTTTTACGAATGATGGAACAGGCTTTGGTTTGGAGAAGAAATTCAAGAGAAGACCACCATTATTAGCCTCTCGGGAAGATTCAATATCGATCCAGGCTTCAGAGGGATTATTGATAAATAAGCCGACAGTGCTATTAGCCTTATGAGCCCACATAAGCGGTACAGAACCGTACAGAGCCATTGGATTATTCAACTCATACTCGAAAACATCGAGATTGAAAAGGCGATAAGGATCTGTTTTGTTGGTGTCACGAAGAGAAAAGCTATCAGCATGCTCGGGAATACCAAAGACATGTTCAAAGCCGTGAAAAGTGAAATCCAAACCGATGGACGTTGGACCATAGGGTCTGGAATCTCGATGCCCATTAAAAGATTCTGACCAATCAACTTGAACGGGGCCAGTTGGTGGAGGTTCTGTTGGGTTTGCAGATTCCGGAATTTGGGAGGATTCGGACTCATTTTCAGGTGGCAGTGTCACGGTATCCGCGGTTGTTGTTGTAGTTTCTTCGGGTCGGGGAAGATTTACAAATTGCGGTCCCAAATAGCGCTCAAAATTGAGGAGATCACGGTCATTTATAGTCATTTCCATGGAATCTTTTGAAAAGATTGAGATCTTAAAGGGATTAGTTTCAATAACCACTTTGTCTTGAGCGCTGGCGGTGATTACAATTTTAGATTCATTCTTTTGAACTTTAAGTGGAAGGGGTTGAGGTTCGTTGATTAAAGAGTCACCGATGCGAGGACGAAATCGTGGACGAATTGGGTTCGTCTCATCCAAAACAAGACGGAATGTTCGTCCATTGTGGTAAGTGAGGTTGAAACTGAGCCTATTTTCGGACTCAGATTTTTTAATTAATTGAAATTGAATTACATTCTCAATATTCGAAATTGTTGCAACATCAACAATGTATTCTGGTGAAGATGGCCAGAAGTTTCTTTGTCTTACACAGAATGAGCTATCGGAACATTTCTTAAAATTATTTCGATCGACACAATAAACACTGCTTAGGAGAAGAATCAACACCGGAAACCTCATACCGCCAGCACAAAGAATGATGCTAAAATCAAGGACTCTTCGTATCTACCCCTTATTGGTTAGGAATTGGCCAATCATCCATTGCCATGGAAGGTTGAATAATTCGAAATAGAAATTTTAATATATATTGAGCTGTTGGAAAGTATATGCATAATTCTTATTCACTATATTAAAATCAATTTCTAAAGACATAATATGTTTTAGAATTTTATTTTATGCTTTGAAAAAAATGACGAAAATATTAATATAAAGGGAATGATGGATCGAAAAATTGGGTTGTTGATTTGAAACATTTTTATTATTTAAATTTAAAAACCATCATTTTGAAATACACCATCTATGTCCATAGAGTAGAATTTATGAAGTCTCACAATTGGACATAGACATATAATTAGTTAGGCTTATGGTCAAAAACTGGTTCGAAATAAAAATTGGTTGAATGCAGAACATAATAACACTTATTGATGAATGGAAAGTGATTTAAAATTGACTATAAGTTGTAAACTATTCTGATGCAACTTTAGTAGTATTACGCTTTTTTACTGTTGGCATATTATGTATGCGATATTTTGAAGAATAATTTTCCGTCGTTGATAAAATGAAAATAAAACACTTTGGTAGCTATTTCTTAACCGCTTTAGACATTCATTTTAATTATTTGGGTGCTTAAGTTGAAATTCATGTTTATTCCTGATAAAATGCCAAGCGTTTTAAGTAAATTAAGATTTCCTGCCACGGATATATGTTCGGTAAACACTATGCTAACTCTAAATCTATTCCTTCCATATCATCAAGATAAATTAACTAGTTTCTGGACATCTTTGCATTGGGATTTAACGCCGCAGAGATTACTGATGATAAGTCTGTCAAAGACATATGTGACGATTGAAATTAAAAGGAGTGTCATTGTGAGATGGCGATTTCGATTTAAATCCATATTTCCGCTTTATTACTTAATTAAAAGCCGCTTGTGATTACACAATATTTAATCAATTAGCAGGCCCAATGCATCAATACTCGGGGTGCGCGATAGACTTACCTCCACGTGGTGCACC